TTTCAATTTGAACATAAAATTTTCATGAGTTAAACATTTGCACTGGTCTGAAAGTGTGTCTTTCATTAGCAAAATGTTTTTCGGTCTTAGACTACAAAATTTTGAAAATCCAATTTCGATATTAGGAAAAAATTCTTTAAAAATGCAAAAGRCTTCTCGTAGGTACAAAGTCAAATAATGCTTTTGACACTTCTTCTTAATGCCGTTTTCCCAAACAATGATGAAATCAGGTATACACAATATCCGGACGATAGTAAAATGCTTTCACATCCTCATAACGTGTATCGTCACCTGATGTGCTAATGTTTGGGCTTTCTGCTAGAGCAATGACTACTTTACGCGCTAGTTCTGCAAAAAACACTTTTTTCTTTCTTGGTGATTGAGGCAGTGCTTTTAGAGCCTTTTGAACAGCTTTAGATAAAGTCTGTTTCGACTTGTACGGAGATTCAGTACTTACAGGAGAATCAGTAGGATTTTTAAGTTCAACCCGCTTTTTTGCTCTTTGCAATCTCTTCTTATCCCTTTCCTTAAGTAAAATTGCTTTTAACTCACCTTGAGAAAGATTTTCTGCTTTTCGTTTACGAAGYTCACGCAATCTTTTAGTCTCATTAGCGGTAAAGTTCGGATCTTTCTCTTTTTGCTTTTCTCGAAATTTTCGCATGCGGCTAGTACTGGTTGATGGTTGCTGGTCGCTCATTTTTGCGTTATTGAGATTTGCAGTACAAAAAAGGGCTTTGTTTATTACAAACGCCAGTAAAAGTTGAAGATGTCAGATAACTTATTCTTTGGCGTCACGTACAGACACTTTATTATCACCAAGAATATATTGTAAGCAAAGCGATTTCAAACAAAATTGTTTCACCAGTTTTTAGACCGCTAAAAGTTAGCTGTTAACAGAAAAATTAAATTTGTATAGTCGACTTGTTTTACAATTATTAATAGAAAAAGGAATTAAGCGTCACGTATGGGACATCGAAACTTACCTTTCCGTTATGATTAATTTTTTATCAAAGAAAAACACTTAAATACAGCGGACCATACACTATAACTAAGAACAGAAATCTAGTTCTATCTGATAAACAATAGCGGCAGCGACCTCGCAAAAAGTTGTGTAAAGACTAATGAAAAAATCCGACTTGTACTTACTCTCAATAAATAACGCTATTTACAAAAAATGAGACATTATTTTAGATGAGAACATAATCTAACTATGTACGTGCAATAATATATAAAAAATGCATATTTGTAAAACAGTTCAGAGTTCCACTTTTTCATGGAATGCTTCATTAACCATTCGCATTGTTGATGTTTATTAAGTACAATCTGTTAAGCGAACAACTCTATTTACAGGACAGAAACGCTGGTAACAAGACATTGAGAAAGCGGCTTTAAATTCGTTATTTTTTCCAATGATGTGTTTCGCCTTTGTTCATAAATAATATATTCACTGTATTGAATAGTTTATTATATGAATAATGGTATTAAATATATTCCACAGCAACGCGAGGCCGGTTCCCCTAGTATTAGATATATATATTAAATTTTTAACATCCCATACTAATCGAGTTTATTTTCAAAAGTTACGAACAACCGTTAGATGAATAATACTATAATACTCTTTAGCAGCATGTTGCAAGTTTAGTGAGTACCGATCAAAACTTTTGATTTTGCGGTCGTGTAACTACTTCAACAATTCCGACTACTGTTTACCAGCTTATATCGAAAAAATAATGGCACATTTCTGTTTTTAAATAGGGGAAGGTGGGGAATATTGGGCATGGTTTTGATTACGGTTAAAAAGTCACATAAAAGTTATTTTTTGTGAAAATTCCAAAGCATGGATTTGTAGTGCGAGTCGTAACCTTCCTTTTGATAAAATTCTACAAAAATTTAAAAGTTATTGCCATTGGCGCAAAAAACCTGATTTTGCGATTTTCAAAAAAAGCTGGGGAATGTCGGGACGGTCGGGTGTTAAAACATGATTGTTACCGATGAAAAACGTTTACTTATCAATGAAAATGAAAGAGAGATTCATAAATAATAAGAAAAATAGGAATTGGCGAA